CCCCAAAACCCCAAAACCCCAAAACCCCAAAACCCCAAAACCCCTTTATAATTTCATTTAATTGAAATATTTTGATATATATATGTTTAGCTTTAAGATCTGAGAGGTTCTTATCCCAGTACTAATTGAAGTTATCCTCTTCCTCTCTAATATCATCATATTTTTTCATTATCCTATCAAAGCTCTGCTTAAACCTAGTTTCAATTTTTTTTATAATACTCATTTCTACTCTTGATAATAGCCTTGTGATAAGGGGTGTTCTTAATTTCAACTTCTTCTTCAAGTTCATTAATCTCAAGCACCACTACTTCACCCTTCTTGGGAGCTTCCTTCTTCTTTTCTTTCTCGTGCTCTTCCTTATTTTCTTAATCAGGATTTTCATAGTCGTAAAAGGTATCATATTTAGTAAGATCAACCTTGAATGGGTTTAAGCCGAGGCCTTCCCACTTTCTAGTTGGTTGGGTTAGGAGATCCTTCCCTTGATATTTAGCTGTTAAAACCTTAATGTTTAACTTCTTCTTGACCACTACTTCCTCTTGTGGTAATTCAATATGAAGTTTAAGCAATGCCCTGAGGTTGTTCAAGTATGCAATATAAAACTCATTTGAAAGGTCAATCTCAAGGTCAACTAGCTTGACTTGTGTGTCATCCACAGTATCCATACACTTTTCAGTCCGCTCCTTTGCCTCAGAGTTCTGGTAATCAAGCTTCTGTGCATTGACAGGATTAGCTAAATCCGGCCTGAACCTGAGCAGATGTTTAGCTCTTAATTCTTTATCACTTTTCTCATAGATGATATACTCTCTTTCAATGTTCTGATCGAAGAAGTGATCCTGCTTGTATATTTCACTTCGATATACGAGAATATAGCCATGGGAATCTTCTCAGATAATTTGATGTACTCTGAGAAGGCGTCTTTTAAGTACCTGATAGATTTCACTCGAAATTCTTCAGCTTGAGAGTTCACGCCTAAGAAATATATAGAAAGGTACTCGGGTATTTACTTATCACCGATAAGCCATTGAGCATCCTCTCCTTCGTATAATTTCTGACAGTTCTCGATGGCAATAGTTTTGATTTCTTTTACACTTTGGCCAAATGTCTTGATATCTTCTTTAGTAGTGCCTATAATGCCTAAATGCTGAAGCTTGCTTTCCTTTCTGTTTTCAAGAGTACTCTGCTCTTCCTCTGTTATGTCAATAGTAGCATGGTTTTCATCAAGAGTGATGTCAGCAACGTCTTCGAAATCCTTGGTATCGTTAATATTTTCATTGGCTGATTTCAAGTGTTTGGCGTAATGCACAATACATCTCAGGATTCATATCTGAGTTTTCTGACTTCGATGCTAAGAGAATCTGCCGCTTGGCCTCCTATCCAGTCTCCGCTACAAAGCTGGCCGAGTTTATAAGGTAATTTTCCAATTCCTTCCTGTTCTTACTCACATTTAGCCATTTCTGCTCTCATTTTCTCCTGTATGATTCTTCTTGGTGCTCCGAATTTCTGGCCTAAACCTTCTTTTGCTACCAAATTAGGCACGCCTGATTTATATTCACCCTCAAACTCTTCATAGGTCTCTGATAACCTTTGTTGGAGCTTGCCCTTGATCTCTTCGAGTTCTTTCTCCTTCTTGTCTTTGAAGGTTTTGAGCATCTCGTTGATCTCTTCCATTTGTGCTTCATACAATTTTATCTCTAGCTCTGAGTAATTGCCACCCTTGTTGAAGAGTACACAGGATTTGAGCATGTTGTTGTTCAGTTTGATGTCATTATCTGCATGAGCTAGAACTATATCTGTGAGCTTATCAGCTATTTCAGTAATTTTCTCTTAAAATGACTGACAACTATCCCTCTCACATCTTGAAGTTCCCTGCAATTCAGCGAGATTCTTGCAGTTAGGGATATTTCCTTTGACCATATCCTGCTGTTTATCATATCCTATGAAGTCTTTGTTGACCGTCTCAGTCAGGAACTCCCACATTTTTCAGCGTTATTATGACACTCAAGACAACTTCTGATTTGCCTCTCATACTTTTTATTATGGGCAGTGATCTGGGACTTTCTTTCCTGATATACTTCAACTTCGAGCTTTCCTTTTCTTGGGAGCTGGAACTTGAGCTTTTCATCGAGATCATCTTTGTTTTCAAGAAGAATCTCCCTATTTTCGAAGACGATCTTATTGAGCATATCCTTCTTGTTTTCGCTAATCCAAGCAAACATTTTTGTAGAGAAATGCTCGACTAGACTCTTTATCTCAAGATGCTTGGTTACTAAATCTTCTTCTAAGATATTATTGACATCAGGATCTAGCGGAGGGATTTTATTGACATTCTCAAGGTATGGGTTAGGCACGTCCTTTTGCTCTTTTTCTTCATAACCTTCTCCCTCTCCTTCACCTTCTTGTTTCTTGTTCACTTCAGGCTCTGGTGGAGTTTCTTGAGCCTCTTGGTCTGCTTCACCCTCTCATTCTTTAGGGTCTACTTCAGATTCAGCTGATTTAATAATCATGAGCCCAGTGGCTATTTCATCTGGAATTTTTTTGACAAGGTATTTATAACAATTAGCTGAAGTAATCTCCCTAATCTCAGGAACTTTTAGTTGAGGAACTCCTGAATCGGGTTTATCTGGTTCCTTTCATTTATTCGCAGTTTAGAGGGAGGTTTCTCCTCCTTAGGGATATTCTTCTCTTCCTTCTGTGGTCAAAACTCTTCTAGTTTCTTTTCTTTCTTATACTTCTTCAAAGCATCTTCTTCTAATTTCTGTTGTCTTTCTTCTGTTTCTTTCTGGAAGATCTGTTGGATTTCTTCTTTTTTGTCTTCATGGCAAAATTCAAAGGTTTCAGCTCAGTTCATTTCAAACTTTTCGTAAAATTCTTGTAGCTGGCTTGGTCTGACATCCAAAATAGCTATGTACTTGTTATTATAAGATCTATGAGACCTTGTGATGACATCGAGCTGTTCGAATTATTCTTTAAGTTTTTCATTAAGTTCTTTGTGATGTATAGCTTGGCTCACTTTGTTAACTTTTTGACTAAGCTCATCCTCCTGGTCATCGATAAGGTTGTCCCTCTCGTCGCTCAATTGAGCGAGATTGACATTGAATTAGTGATTGATCTCTCTCAGGGCATCTTTTCCTTTGTCGTATTTAGTTGCTAATTTCTTTAGGAATTCCATAATATTCCTACATATCTCATTCATCCCGTCATCTGTTTCTTTTAAGTATTTAAAGGTTTTAGCAAAGATTTCACAAGCTTCAAGCTCTCTTCTTTCTACATAAGGAGTTGCTTGCTCCTCTATGATTTTATCGTAAGAGGTATCCTCATTGATCTTTGCCTGGTTAGTATGTAGGAAATCTCTAAGTTTTCCAGGCAGAGTTCTCATATGGCTCTTCGAATTCTTGATTGATGTAAATAAGTCTTTAGCGATTACGTCAAATTCTTTTTGAGCCTCGTCATTGATCTACTCAAGAACTCCACTAGTAGTTTATATCTTCCTGACAGTGATTTCGGCTGCTTGGGTATTATCTATTTTCTTGAGCTAGTCCATTCTTTTATGAAAGACCTTTACCTGTGTTTCCTTGAGCTTTGCAATAAGAGAATTCTTTCTGGAAGATTAACAAATTCAGGAGAGTCTATTCTATCTTGGAATGTCTTTATTGCATTCTCTTGTTTGAGAATATAGAACCTGAAATTAGAAAGATATTTTCTCTTCCTCAACTAGCCTTTCATAGAATTGGTAGCTCTCTTCGTGTTCCTTCTGATATCAAAGTTTTTCTTTAGCTTTCCATTCATCGACCAAGGAAATCACATCTGGCTCAAGAAGGAAAGCATGATGCGTGAGTTCTGCCTGCAACTTATCCTAATATTTTCCACTATTTTTAATTTGAAAATCTTGGAGTTCCTTAATCTCATAAAGAGTATGCTCAATATACTCGTTCCTGGCTGATTAGTGCGAGTAGATTTTCTCTCTTGAGCCATTGACGACATCTATTTCTTTTGCCAGTAAGGATGCATCATCAATTTGGTCAAGGATCGCTTTGACTTCGTCATCACTTGCTTCTATAAAGACTTGCACATTGCTCTGGATTATATTAGATTTCTCCTTAAAGTTCTCGTAAAATTAGTCTACAAAATTCTGTCATTCTTTAACTGAGTGGAGGTGGTGCTGCCTTCTGATATCTATTTGGTCAATGAGCATTTTCTTCCCTTTCTCGGGGTTAAAAGGTTGGAGGTTGAACCCTATTCCTTTGACTACACTCTTTTAAGCCCTCTCGATTACTGTTCCCTTACTCTCTTTTGGCTTTTTAGTTGTCTTAGATTGCTTATTTTAATTCTTCTAGTTGATTTTTAGCTATAAAGTTTAAAATTGGCTGAGAATTATGGGTCACTCTCTGATATCTTCATTAATTCGTGTTGGACAGTTACTCTTTGCTTAGTCAAGCCGAGAGTCAGATTAGTGGTGGCTTGGATGCTTCTCTTAACCTCATCGCTTTGTTGTAGCTGCTTTTACTTTGTTGATCTAAACGTATTCTCCATAAATATGTAAATTAAAATTATTAATTTATTTCAAATTTTAAGCTCAAAATAGGGGTTTTGGGGTTTTGGGGTTTTGGGGG